GGAGGGAGGCAAACTTGATGTGGCCAGTGCAAAAAGAACGAGGACCGACCAACGAATGGCCAAACGAGGGATGCACAGTTGGACTAAGAGATTTCCCAGAAGAGATTTCGAGGCACCGCCGTCGCCGCTACCGATATGGTACCGCGATCGATTCGCCGGGCTTACACCCGGCTTCTCGCTCTCCCCGATCGACAGATGCGCGCGGTAAAACGTCTGAAATATTGTGATAACCTCGCGCGCACATACCTGTATATGTTTCCCAACTCGGAAGCTTTCCCAGTAGATTCGGAAAACGAATATTTCGGAAAACAATATGATGTACAAGGGCGTTGTCTTCATTTTTATCTAAAAATAAACCTTTCTAGACGATAATATACTGCATGGATCTCTCACATTTAAGATATCAGATTTGTCCAAAATGTGAGAGATACCTTGCGGTATTATCGAGAAAAATGGTCTGATTGGATTAAATAGTAATTCTCGTGGAAAATGGACGAATCGGAGTTTTCTGATTAAGTCTGTTAGAATTCTAGTTGAGATAACTAGAATTCTGATTGATATAATTATTCTAAAAATAAGAATTTTAGTAGATTTTACTAAAACTATTGTATCAATCAGAATTCCGGTTATCTCGACTAGAATTCTAATAAATCTAACCAGAAAATTCTAATTCGTCCATTTTCAATCAAAAATTGTTTTCAATGTATCATCTAGAAAGGTGAAGTTGTACAGAATATGAATAGAAATACATTACGAAATTATGAATTGTAGATATTCTTATGAGATACAGAATTCGTAAAATCTTTCAATATTCTCACGAAAATGATGAACGTTCGAATCTTGCCAGATGAAAGACGGATAAAACCAAAAAAGTCACATACTACATCATCCACGCGATGATGACTGTGGAGACTACAGTTTCACGACGGGCTTCTCTCTCCGCTCGGTCGTGAAACGAAGAAAAGATCATTTCCACTTTCTACCTTCAAGAGGAGCGATATTCGTCACGCGCGCGTTGCGCTTCGCTTGCCTTGCTGACGCCACCGGCAGTTTTTAATCTATTTTAATTTCTAACATTTGCCGTTCCAGCCGGTCCCAGGACGATTTATGCTTAGTAGCAGCAGCAGCAGCAGCAACAGCAGCAGCAGCAACAGCAATAGCAGCAGGTAGTCCGGATGCAGCGTACGTACGTACGTGCCTATGGGACTGCTGCGTGTTTTATGTTGGCTAATCTCGTAAAAATTCATGCGAAATAACGCCCGTGCTTCATCCGCCTCGCACGTTCTTCAGCCCTGCCGCTACTTGCAGCCAGGCACGTTTCCCATCGCGCGACTCGAGCCGAATTTCCGGCCGCCGCCTTTCGCTTCTCCCGCGGTACTCCTGAAGCGGCATTAAGAAGATGCAAAATAAAACGAAGTAAGAAGCTCGCAATCTGAAAATTCGATAAAGTTAAGAAAGTGGGCTTTGAACTTTGTTTCGGCATTACAGCACAAAAATAATGCAATGTTACTTCGCTTCGTATAGGATAAAACTCTGAAAATGGCTTTTTTTTTTTACAACGTAAACCATTCCTTTTTTTAACTTAATTCAATTTATAGCTTAACTTAATTTACACTTTTAGTTTAAAGGAGCGATGGCAATTCCTTGGGTTAAATAAATTTTCTTATTTTTAACTTCCATGTGTGTTACAACGTAAATCAATCCATTTCTATGATTAGCTTCGAAGTAAATACGTTTATATTAATATTATATATGCGCTCTTGGCAAACATTGAACTATAAATTTGAGAGAAAAACACATTTTCGTGAATTAAATCGTTTTAATTAAATTAGCGATATATTGAGCAGTGACGTCTTTCTAAAAACAATTAAAAATAATTCAAAGTATAATTTAATAATTCAAAGTATAGTGTAGTCTTTAATATCGTAAGGGAGTTTGAAGCGTGAATTTTGTGCGTGTGAAGAAAAACCAATGATATTTACGACGGCATTAACGATGTCGACGACCAAAGACGAAAATCGTATCATTCGCGCACAACACCGCTGGGAACAAAGGATTATAAGGGTCTAATCGGGCATCGCGATTATTCAAGTGAGTTGCCCAGAGCGCGCTCTATTTAATGTCCGTCCGTGCATGGACGCGAGATACATCGGGGATCAATCCGGTAGCCATCAAGTAATTTAATCTTCACGCACACCATGTCCAACTAAAAGCCATCCCTGCTCGGGAGCAGCCAATGAACCGACACAGATCAATCGTATCATACCATCGCTTTATCCTGCGCGCTAATAAAGTAAACTGCCATTCCGCGTGTGGAAGGTATCGCGATAATCATATCGCTGGCTTGTAATACAGCCTACAAATAGTAAGGTACTTGCGACTCACGTGCTTCTATAGCGACAATTTAGCGTTGCACCAGTGTTGGGAGAACTATTTGACGTAATTCTAGGAATATGTAAAACTATTTAATCAATAAATTTCAT